GCATCGCCCGCTGCGACACGCTTACGAAATTCGCCATCAAATCTTGTGCGCCTTCAGATGAGAAGCGGTCATCAAGTCAACAAGCACAGAACAAAGGTGTCATTGGACAGCTTCGAGCTATTTCCATGAGCAGTCGGAGCGGTGAAGCGTACCTTCTCGATCGAGTTCAGGTGTGTTACGAACTCATTTGATGAGTGTCCAGTGTTGAGTCATGAGCCTTGGGTCTTGAGTGTGGTGAGTACACGTGATCACCTCCATCGCCGGGCGTGCTCGACTAGACTCATTATTGCCTTTGACTCTCTCTCAGAACATGCGCCGGTAGTCAAGGTACTTGTGAGTGACAGACATCGCAGACTGTTGTCTTTTTGCTCTCGCTCCTGGTGAAACAAGTTCAGTGAATTGTGAGATGAATTTACGACCCTTCACGCCTGCCTGAGCGGTGGCCGGGCCGAACATCACGTGATGTCAAGCTCGGTTTGACAGCCACGTGGTCTCAAGTAGCACGGACGCACAGCACATCCGATCGCGTTGTGGGCTTGACTCCCACACAGCGCGACCTCCGCCAAGGCGCCATGCATCGCCTCCAACTGCGCTCACGCACATCTTGACATTCACAACAGTTCCATTGTATTGGAACCCTCGGGCAAAAGACCATCCACACCGCAATTCTCTAACAAATCATAGCTGCCCAAAATGTTCGGCTACCGCGCGTGAGTGTCTCTCGTCTTGCTTCAGCATTACCCTCGCACAATTCCATGCGGCATAGCTTGCTTCGGCGCTTTGCAAGCTCGATGTGTAGGGAAGTGAACTGACTCGATCCAATCGTACCTGCCTCGCAGCTACCCAACTCCCATCATTCGCCCTCTGTGGCCTTTCCTGACGGCTGGTGTCATCGTCTACGCTGGTATCAACTACCTCCAAGATGCTGCAGTGTCCACTCCCGAGGCCAAGAAGGACCCCAAGAACCCTTACGGTGCGTGTAGCTCGCGCTGCTCAGGCTGCTATTGGAACATAGTCATAGTCAGGCCTCAGAGCATGGTGGTGCGGTAGAATGGCGGCTATCAGGCGGGCAGGTATCCAAACGCCAACTGCTTTCCTCTGTGTCAGCGATGTTGGGCTCCGCAGGTTGGAAGCGACGTTGGATTACAGCAAGTAGTACGCCAAGCCGTCGACAGCTGCGATTCGCAGAGGTCATTGTGAGATGGGAAAGCAGATACGGGCTCGGAACAGAGACGGATGCGTTCAGGGAATTCCGAGGGGCGCCTAGCCACCCGTTGGAAGCATCTCACCGAGAACGTTGCGTCAGCTCGGACAGCGACTTCTTGCGATTGCGTCGCGTCACAGGTGCATGTTGCTGACGCTCATCGCCGATTTCTCTTCCAGCACTCAAGGGAGGTAATGGCCACTAATCGTAGACAGCTTGTGCCTACGCCAATCTCTGCGGCTTCAATGGAGCGTCTCATAGCTTCACACTACGCGCTTTGAGCAATACATCAGGCTTGTCTCAATAGACAAGAAAATCTCTCGATTCTGCACGCGCCTGCGATGGTGACATTGCACTGACGTAAAGGAGAAAAGTGCGAGTACAGTGCGAAGGAAAGAGGTCTGGCTCTGTCGTCGGACGTGGATGCGCAAGTGAAGAGGAACGTCATTGGGAGCTAGTCTGGGGAAGTCTTTGGCTCGAGCTCGCCATCTCGATCTTTGGGTTGGGTAGCAGTCAGCGCATGAGCTGCAAACGAAATGCAGCGTCAGGCACTCACTTGCTCATGATCCGAGACGATGAAGGAGCCGAGTTCGTAATTGTCCTCGGAATCACTTGGCTCTTCAGCATGCGTGCTCTCGGTCTCTCGGCGCTGGCGGTGCGACCCTCGCGCTGCGCGGATCGGAGACTCTTCGTGCTCGTCGGAGGCAAGCGCTCCGTAGCGACCACCGTAGAACTCTGCTTTGCGCTGCGGGCGATCCAGGCCCATTTTTGGCGCGGCTTGTGTCCTGCACCGTTGAAGGTCTTTCATGGGTCAGCTTGATCGCTTCGTATCACGGGCACCCTTGCGACCTATCGACTCACAGCAGCGATTGCGCGTACATTGCTTGTTGATTGTAGCCTCGAGGAGCCTGGGTGGGCTGAAAGTGACCCACATGCTCGCGGTCGCTCGAGTCCGCGTCGTCTTCCGTGTCCAGACCCTCGTCGTTCTCGTCAAGCTCACGGTGGATCTCTTCATCCGTGTCACGCTCTGCGGACCGGCGAAAGAGCATCCGGCTGGTCGGCGAGTTCGAGATGCGCTTCTTCTGCCTCTTGTGTTTCTTTGGCCCGTTCGCCTGACAAGCGGCACGGCTGCCCACTGCAGCTGGCTTCGAGGATGACGCTCCTCCTCCACGAGGTCGATCCTTGCAAACAATTCCATCTCCTGCATCAGGCTGATCAGAGTCCCACCCCGCCACACCTCGACGCAGGCGTTTCTTCGGTCGTGCGGCGGGAGGCGGCATTTGGAGGGGTGACGAGCCAGGGGCATTAGGCCGGGCCGGGAAACGCCGCACCTGAGGTTTGAATGGTGTGTCGTCCGAAGTCAGCAAGGCATTTTTTGTCGAGTCGCCTTGCGTGCGTGTAGTTGCCCCTTTGCCACTGTCGAAAGCCGACTTCGGCGCGGTTCCAATGGTTGGGCCTGCTGGCAACGGAGGTGTGTCGAGGACGTTCACTGGATCCTGAGTGCCCAAAAGCGGGAGCGGCTCAAGATCATCAAAGCTGTCTTCCACATCGGATGTGCCGCCGTCCACGAGCATCGCCGCGTCGGCAGCTTCTATCGCGTCCCGTGGCGCACTCTCGTCATCTCCGCTAGCGGCATGCTGCTCCAACAACGCTGCCACCAAAGGATGTGGCTTGCCAATACCACATCCGGTCCGGGCTGGCGAACAGGATGGGCGGCCATCTTGCTCGGCTCGCGTGTGATGCGGCCTTTCGCCTCCAGAAGCGAGCGCAAAAGCACGCTGGTCGCTCGCGTCAGGCAGTCCCGCTGCATTGGCGACCAAAGAATTGCAAAGAGGTGAAGAGAACAATGCAGCGCTAGATGGCTGGCGTCGAACGCCGAGCCTGCGGCCTTTAGGGTGACTGGCTGAATCGTGTAGCCAAGTAGCCGTCATTGTCCCTTTGCGTCCGTGGCCATTCGTCCTCTTTGTGGCCATGGCAGCCGACCGAAAGTCGATGCCACCAGCAAGAAGATCGTCGTCTGAGTCGTCGGACAGAGCCAAAGCTGGGGCCGCTGCTATCCTCTCGTGCGGTGATTCTTCTGAAGAACTGGTATCTCTTCTCTTACCTCCGCTTTTGCGTCGGATAGTCTTCGCCGATCCAGAGCTACTTCGCTTGAGCTTGCCATCCTTTCGCAACTCGCTTGCTGCAATGAAGTTCATCAAAGCACCTTCAGGCATGTCTTCGGCAATGCGTTTGTTCTTGCCTTTACCCTTGCCGTTCTTCGCAGCAGACTTGGTGGCGTTGCTCGAAGTCTGAGCGAGATCTACCGCTCCTGGATTAAAATCGGGTTGTTCGACATCACGCATGACGACAGTGGGCTTGATGTGCTTGGGCACCAATCTCGGAACGTCGCCGAAGAGCTCCAAATTAAGGCCTCTGGTGATGTCTTTCTGAACAGACTTGTAATTGTCCTTGGACTGGGCCCAAAGCTTCTCCTCACGCCCCTCTGACATGAGCACGACAATTTTGCCATCACGCTTACGTCCCGTGCGGCCGACACGTTGCAACTGTTGAGAGCAAAGCGTAATGAGCTGCAAGGCTGGACTGGGGAGCTCTGCGCTTTATCTGCTCACCATGCGGACCGAATCTTTGACAGCTTCGTAGCACACGATCAGGTCAACTTCTCCAATGTCGAGGCCTTCCTCGCCGATTGAAGTGGCGACTAGCACGTTGTAGTAGCCTTGCCGGTATTGAAAAATGATCTGCTCGTTCAGGTTGAGCGCGGCGATCAGCCCTCCACGTACTCATGCTAAGCCTGCCTGCACTCACCTTTTCCTGGGCTTTCTGATTCATGCCACTGCCACCTGTGCGATCTGCCGACTGGCCAATGAATTGTACAGCCTTGATATCGTCGATCGTGTTCAGAAACTCGACAATCTCCTTCACGCATTCTCGGTACGAGCAAAAAATCATGACACGAGTGTCGCTGCTACGGCCCTGCTCTTGCTCTGCAACAAAGTGAGTCTTGACGACGTCCCGCAAGTACACCATCTTCGGATGCAGCATGTTTTCGGGTGTCTGATCGAGGCTGTCGAGCTGTACTCGGAAGCGTTTGAATTCGGCAGAGTCTTGATTGATGCCCGGTCGCTTCTTCGCGGCGAAGTCTTGCACGCGCGTGCGGAACATGGTGATTGAGTGCTCGTTGAGCAGCTGCATGGCAGCGGCCATAGCCTGGAGTGTTCCAAGTTTTCCGCGAAGGGAACCGTTCTTAGCGAAGATCGGCTTGTTGCCGGGATTCCTGCCGGCGCTTATCAAAGCGAAGGGATGCAGAGACACAGGATCTGCACTGTGTATTAAGCGCGCCTTGAAGAGCGGATCGACGACAGGCTGTCGGATAGAGAAGGAGATGAGTAGCGATACAGGAGACATGTCAACTGGCGTGCGAGCATGTGCATCTCACTATCATTAACTTTGCCCAGGCCGCCTGGACCTGCGAGGCTTCATCTCGCATTGGCACGAGGACGGGATGTTCGTGCTGCAGACAGAAGGGCTCGTCAGTGTCGCCAGCTATCAACGGAAACGAGGTCTCCGTTCTCGCACCTTCTTGTGAATGTAAGTCCTAATGTCAATGGCTTCCTCCGTTCTAATTTCGATGTGGCTGATGTGCAGGTTGTCGACCACTTCTTGCACCTTCTCGCTCTTGTTGCCAGGCGTGGCCGTCAAGGCCAAAATTCTGAAATACGGGTTCCTCTGAGTCAAGTACCTTATGACATTGCCATAAGCATAGTTGCCTGTGGCGCGATGAGCCTCATCGACCACTACGCAACAAACATCGCGTGCGTCCACGGCCGACGAGCAAAGGTCGTTCTCGAAGCATTGCGGTGTCATGTAGAAGATGCGCTTCGTCTCCCACTGATCGTTTCTTAAGCCCCTTTTGGTCGCTCCTGTGAGCTCGACGGCCGTTTCCCAGGGTAGACCACATATACGGTGGCAGGCATATTGCTGCTGGGCTACAAGCGGTCGCGTAGGAGCCACGAAGATGATCTTGCCGTCCGGGAACCAATTGAAGTAGTTGAGGATTACGACGGCAGCGATGAAGGTTTTGCCAAGACCGGTCGGCAATGCAACCAGTGTGTTGCTGTACAGAGCTTTCTGCACGATGTCGAATTGATACCTTCGCTTCTCCTTATTAGTAGGATAGATCCACTCCTTGGCAGCTTGCTCATCGATGCGGAGCTTCATAGGCTGCAGCTCCGGAATGACGTCTCTTGCCTCGTTGGCAGGTTCATAGGGTCTTGCATTGTCCCAGTCCATTTGGCCTTCCTCATCGTCTTTGGGCGCTGGTAGGCCATTCTTCTTGCGCCGCATCGCTTCTGTATCTCTGCGGTAGCGTCGACCCGTCTTAGCGTACGCGGTCCGATCCCATTGCTTGGTCTTCGCGACGCGCGGGCCCGTCTTGCTCGCACCAGAGCTCTGCCCCGCAGTCTGAGAGAGCACTCCTACAGAAGACCCACCAAAGCCGGCTGCCCTCATGTACGCATCCTTGTCCCATTCTCGATTGGTCGATTGAGGAGGCAAATCTTCGACAATTTGTCCGAACAAATTTCTCTGCCGCATCGTAGATCGGGCAGCGACATGCGTCTCGCCATCACTGACCGCTTGCGCGCTACCGCCCGCTTTCAGATTCGCCTCGATCGCATCCACACCTCGTAGTAGCGCATCATCCCATAGAGACGCATCCCCGTCCTCGTCAAAGTCGTCAAAGTCCAATTGTGCTCTTTGTTTGCCTTTCGCCTGATCTGGACCGGCATTGAACCTGACCTCTTGAATGCTACTGCTTGGCGGCTTTGCTGGCGGTGCTGCAGGCGGCGCCATGCTCAGATCTTCTCGCGGACTCTGTGACCGACGTCTGCTTGACGAGCTTTGACTCCCCGTGCCAAAGTTGGAGTGAGGCGAAGAAGTCGGTGGTGTCGGCTGCATGTGATCGTCGGCGAAGAACGCGGCACGGCGAGGAACCAAGGGCGTTTCGAAGGCAAGTATTGCACGTCCAGACGTCTGAGTCAAGCGTCGTGGCAAGTTGGCTGCTCTCTTGGGTGTGCAAGGAAGGGCCGGCGCTGAGGGTGGTGCTCTGGGCTTGGAGGGTCCGGCGGCTCTCATGGAATTCGCTTCCGCCTCAAGAGCAAGCAGCGCCGACTCGTCCAGCTCGAAATCGTCTCCGTCACCAAAGTCAAATTCGTCGGTATCTGCGACATGTTCGTTGGCAGCTCCCGCAAGGGCGCTCGACATGGTGGCAACAAAGAACGCCAGGCGTTGCAATCACCGCGTCGGATTGTATTGTCTCGGTGAATGAAGTGCTCTACTGATAGGTTTCGAGCCCCAAGATGCGAGGGAAGAGAGCCAGAGAGAGAAAGAGAGGGAGAGGTAGTGTAAGAGGTGCTGGCAGTGTCAGAGGTGTTGATGTGTTGGCTTGAAGGATTGACATTTGGAAGAGAATCCGTCCAAGCTGTGGAGAATGGCTCGCTCACGCGTCGGGTTCACGCGTAAAGTGTGCATCAGAGGGCCTCCGCGCAGCAGCGGAACGCTCGCCGCCAAAGAAGTTCCGTGCTCCGCGTGACGCATACATAGGCTAGCTGTGCGCGTACATGAGCTCCGACCTGTTGTGATGGCTCGCTCTCCACTCACCAGACTCTGACTTGGCATTGATTTGACTTTCACCGTGCACTCGTGACTAGAATTGGCTCTTTATTCAAAAAGTACGGCTGAACAGAGCCGAGTCGGTCATAGCACCTCACCGTTTCATCCTGCAACCATCCAGATTTTGCCAGGCTTGCTTTGCAGACTCTTGGCGTGACATCGAGTCATCATGGTGAGACTGCGATCTGTCATCTTGCCAGGCTGTCTCTCAACCGCTGACGTGACATCGCGAACACATCCACGACTGTGACTGTGGAGAAGCCATTGCAGAGGCCGCACGTCGACAGCACAGGTGCTTGGCACTTCTTCGACGGCGATCTGCAGACATGGCTTGTCAAAGATGATGGCAAGAGCTTCACTTCCGGCCAGCGTTTCAAGAAGGGCAGTCCGCATACGGGTGCCGGAAGGAAGAGTACCGCTACACCTCCTTACCACGGTGAGTTGCAAGCACTCGCCTCTCCGTTCGTCAGAGGTTCTCCGAGTGTATGCGTCATGGAAGTGGCTCATGCTTAGCTGGACCACCACCTCCTAATTTGCAGTGCATCGCTTTCAGACCGAGACGTTCGCAGTGCAGTCCGGCATCCTCGCTTATCTGATCGACGGTCGCACAGGTACCCTGAAAGCAGGCGAGACTGTCAACATTCCTCCCTGGCGACCTCACACGTTCTGGTCTGACGAGGCAAGCGGAGAGGATCTAGTTGTCCACATCACTGTCAAGGGTGGGGATAATCCTGGGTTCGACGAGACCTTTGTGCACAACTTTGTGAGCCTTTCACTCTGTTTGCTGAGCAGGATCAGCTGCCGATCCCAGAGCAACAAGAGTTGTGCGCTGAGTACCATTTTCTATGCTTTCAGTATGGCTACTTGTCATCTGTGACTCTCGCTGGCCGACCGCCCAACCCTTTCCAGGTGAGGCTGGCATGCAAGCAAATACCCGAAGGTGCATGTTATCCTCGCGACTGACATACCTGCCGCTGCTATCGCGGTCATCGCAGATGCTCAGGTTGTTGGATCACGCTGATGTCATCCTCGCAGGCATCCCCGTCACCATTTCGAACTGGATCAACATCATCTTCGGTGAGCATCCGTCCCTGTCGAAGAGCGTGGATGCTTTGACTGCTTCTGTGCCTTGCTCCTTGCCGCCATTCGTGATCTCAATGAAACACATATGCGCTTCGCACAGGTCGCTGGATCGGAGGCTACCTGCTTCGCCTTCCAACTTCTTTCAAGGAATTTGCAGACTGACATTCCGTGCACGAGAATCACGTGGGATGACGCCGATGGAGAAGAGCATTTCGGAAGGAAGCATCTTTCGTGCTATGTGGTGTGTTCGTTGGCGGTGCTGAGCGACACAGATATCCCTTCGGCTGCATGTAATGTGCTCTACACTGTCATCCGCTACATCGCTTTTCGAATTTGGACGTTCCTCGCGCTTGTGGCCGTGGCGTTATATTCACGACTTGATCATGACTCACGCCTGGCCCAGTCAAGAGTGGTGTCGTGTCGCACAAGCTGAGGACACGCACCAAAGGTATCAAAAACAAGCTGGAATGCCTCTCGAGCTCGATAAAGGTCCAGTCGATATGGCGCATCTGATATCAAGCAAAGCTCTTTAAAATTGACCCACGACTCGCAATGGTGTTGACGTTGGAAGGAGCATCAGAGCGTGCTCAGTTGGCGGTAAGCGGCCTAGCGCAACGTAGCGTAGCGGTACGACAGTCACGAGTCAGAAGAGAGAGTCACGAGTGTAATAAGTCCGTTGATTGGCAAACACAGCGGCTGCTGATGCATGCATGGGCAAGTCACGAATGTGAATATACACGCAGCAGCAGAGCTGAGACAAAAAGTTCGCCTTGGAGATGCTTGCACGGTGAAGCAGCTGGCGCAATAAGCGGCAGGGTTCGCTTTGCGATGCAAAGCGTCAGCGCGCGTCGCATGCCGGGGCCTCTTCTCGTCCTAGCTCATCTGCTGCAGCGCATTCTGCAGTCACAGTCGCGAGTAGACTTGTGCTGTGCTGTGCAAATGAGCGCGCAAGGCCGTCGTGCCGCGGCGACGTTCTCCCCCTAAGCGGGCGCGCGCGCGCCCTTCTGCGGTGTGATGCCTTTAGGCGCAATCTTGTACAGCAGCAGGCGCGGTGGACATTTCTCGCGGCTAATGGACGTGCTTGGTACCACGAGACGCGAGCTTCGTGGCGAGCGATTCGATTCTCTTCTAAACATCACCTCTTCACCTTCCATACCTCATCGGAATCGCCCAACAGCCATATCTTGACCTCAATTGCGCCGTCGACCACTGCTCGCTCGGGTTCAGGTCCAATCCGAGTCACGCAAGTCCTCAACGCACCTTCCCTGACCGAATCTGAGCAGCTCAGCTGATCGTATACCCGACATCCCACACCTCGCTTGATCTTTCACGACACTCGTACCGGTTCCTTGGCCTCAGGCCTACCAGCGTCCACATTCGAAAACAGCATCCAGACAAGTGCACCTCTCCAATTCAGTCTGGGAACGGCAAAGCTCCGCTGACCACGTTGCGGTGAATCGGGCATCCGCCACCACCACACTTTCACTGGCTACTGCGCCGTGTACGACCTACACCATCACTATTGAAGATGGGTCTCTCTTTTGGGAACTATGATGAGATCTGTGATACGGTGGCGTTGATTGTGTGTCCCTTGTTGGGCAGCGAGTTGGGGCTGGAGCCGAAATGCTATTCGAGGAATGTCGAGATCAACAACACCATCATTTTCCAACCGGGTGAGTGCGCGCAATCACGTCTCGAGCCACGCGAAGAAGTTTGGACAAAGCATCGAGGTGCGCAGATGAGCCGTTCGGCTCGAAAGATTAGCAAGACCGTCCCAAGTTGCTATTGTCAGGCGACATAGTCCTCACGACGATCCGCACACCTCTGATGGATCTTTGGCCCCTTGAATTGCCTCACGGCGGGGCCTCGGGTACACCTTGCTTCTGTGTATGGCTTGGGCGAAGGCTGACAGTAAACGTCGCACCGACTTCATCTCTCTTCGCAGCAACATGTTTTGTGCACATCGCTGCGCTCATCATGACAGCGATCATGATTTACCACGTCCGCAGCAAGTACACTGCCGTCGGTGAGTCTCACGGCGAAGGACCTTTTCTGCACACGCAAGCGGTTGCCCTACAACTTAGCATGATTTGGGGCAAGGTCGGGTGTCGCTCACTCAACGTGCTGGGAGACGGAGGAGCGGCGCTGATCGTGACCATATCACATGTCTGCGCCTGAACCCTTGGAGGTTGTACCACAAATGCTAATGCACACCTACGCTTTGGGCTTGCCACAGGGAGGAAGGAGATTGTTCTCTTCTTCTATCTGTATGCGGTGGCAGAAATCCTTGCCATCTTTCTGGACTCGGCCATCATTCCCACCTACAGCACCGCCTATGCAGTGAGTCAGGGCAGCTTTGTTTGAGAGACAGGGCCGACTTTTGACGTGCTCTTCCTCGCTTTGCGCAACAGGTATTTGCGGCCATCTACGTGGGACTAGGCACTGCAATCTATTGGTGCCTGCTCATCAACGGCTTTGTTGGCTTCCAATTTGCAGAGGACGGCACTCCCAAATCCCTTTGGTTCTTGCGGATATCCTGCGTGGTCTTGTGGCTGATCGGCTTTTTGGTCGCGCTTGCCACCTTCAAGTCCGTAGGCGGCTTGTCACCCACAAAGACAGTCGGTCTCTGGGTCGTCCAGCTGCTTTTCCCGGTCGTCTGCGTGGCGATCTACGTCATCTCGCAAGTTATCTTGGTCTTGCGAACACTCGACGACAGGTGGCCGCTAGGAGACATTACCTTTGGTACACTGGCCTTCGTCGCCGCTTGCGTGCTCATGTTCGGATTCTCCGCGACAATCTGCGACAAAGTCAAGCACTACATTGACGGGACCTTTTTCGGTACGCTTTGCTTGCTATTTGCAGTCATGATGACGTACAAGTATTGGGACTCCATCACGAAGGAAGATCTCGAGTTCTCCGTTGGCAGCAAGCAAAGCGTGTGGGAAGTCAAGGACCCGTTGATTGGGGCTGGAGACGTCGACGTCATGGGTCCTGCCTCCATCAACACCCACGAGAGCCCGTTCAGCGGTGGTCATTCGTCGAACCGGAACAACAGCCCCGGCAGATTAGCACCTGGCTTTGGATCGAAGGGATCTGGCTACCCTCCCGCCGGACAGTATGGAGGCAGTACGTACTAGGACTTTTGGACGCTTCATTCGACAACAAGGACTCTTTCGACCACGTGCTGCCCTGAGCTCAGTACCAACTCGTGTTACGCATCTCAGCATGTACATTCCATCGCATTCTTGACTGCCTTCCTACTTCCCATGTGCCCAGGCATCGCTCTGGGATTGCTGCATCACCATTGCGGTTCCTGAGCGTCGCATGCGCGTCCTGATGTTCACGCACCTCTTCATACACCACACAACCCACCTCCCTCTTTTGCCTCCGCCCTGCCCCTTTCTCGAGGCGATTGTTTCCTCGTTCCGCGTAATCTGATAGCATCGCACTGAATCGCTACGCCTGTCTTGGTCCGCATTCAAAGATGAGGCAGGAAAGATGACTTTCGTCGAGCTATCATCATTGCGGACGGGAGTGAGGGCGATGGCACAATCTTGTAGCTGCGACTCATCGCCGGGAACGGCTTGGCCCCAAGTATAAGCTGCCTCGAAGCTGGAAAAGATTCAATGTGAATGCAAGCGGCGCGGCCATGCAGGTCTGAAGGGATGGAGAAATTGCTTGACAACAAGACGATGCACCGAAAAGCGCATCCGAAGGAGATGCTTGTGAAGGGCTTTTCATGATTCACGATTCACGATTGATGGACGGACTGCTTTGAAGCGCTCCGGGGGGTGTCCCTGATTGACGTATGTTCTCGAATCGAGACTTGACTGAAGAAAATCCTTTTTTTTCTTCCCGAAAGTGGTGCCTGACGCATGCAAACACGCCCCAATGAAAAAGGGTTGTGGGTTGTTTGATTCGGTGATTTGGTTGGTTGGTTGGTTGGGTTTTTTTTTTGCTGATCGCACAAGACTCGGGAGTGAAGAAAGGGCAACGACGAGCATGCAGCAGGGTCATGCGGCACCGACACCACATCTGCTGTAGCAGCAGCAGCAGCAGCTAGATCTCAACCACTTTCCAATGCTTCCTTCGTTGCTTTACAGTCGTGGGTACCTGTTGGCTTTTTGACTTGACTTGGCGCATGAAGCGTGCTTAAGGCGTGCGCGTGCGCGTGCGCGTGCTCTTTCGAAAGCGAATGCAGCTTGCACGCAGAGGAGAGAAGGGGGGGACAGAGATCGAAAGATCAGCTATAGACCCGGCAAGGGAGAAAGTGCAGAGCAGCATGCAGTCAGAGTGGAGATGTGTGAGCTAGTTGCATGTGGACAAAAGTCGAACACGAAAGTCGCTGACGGCGCTCGCTGTTCCTCTGCTGCCCTTGCTTGTTTCAAAGCCAAAGCTCAAGATGGAAACGATGAAGCTTGCCAAGCGTCGGAGAGGGAGAGAGAGGCAGCAGAAGGTTGACGCGACGCGCGCAGACGGAAACCTACGTACGTAGAGGGAGCCAAAGAGGTGCAGCATGGATGGATCGATGTTCGCCTGCTGCTGGCTGCGTCCCCTCTCCACGAGCCCTGAGCCCACACGTGCGGCGCACAGCGGAGCTTACACCTTTGATGAAGCTGTGACAATCAAAATGTTGAATGTTTCGTAGACTTGATCGAATCATAAGATTGACTCTGATCGACCATGCCCTCAGACAGGGTAAAACGGTAGCCACGAACAAGGGTAGTGTGGGGTTCACCATGTCAGAACTTTGTCAGCTCAGAGCAGCTGTAGCAGACA